AATGACTCTGGTCATAAGCCAAGTCAGTTACATTTTATTTTTAGGAACAAGGCTTTAGGGACAATGATCTCCATAGTAATATCATTAATACTGTCAATTAGCTAAAAAGATATACTCCCTCCCATCAAAAAAAAAAAAAAGCTTTGCAACATTCATTTATTGATAGGTTCTTTAATGCATTTTCTCATACTCTGTGAGTCAATAATTTCAAAAAAAGAAAAAAGAAAACTCAACAATCTCAAGTTATTGCTAAAATAAGGGGACAGTTTTTATAACACCTAAATTGTAAATACATTTTGAACCACTTCTGAGTTTAAGTTCCTTCCCAAATGTCCTGATACCTAATTTTTCCCTGTAAGACAAACTTATTAAATTGGAATTAGAAGAAATGGATAGAAATAAGCTTGTATTGATAAATTCTTTCATCACTGATAACCATTAAAAAGTATTTTGCATTTCAACTGAAGGCAAAAAACCATGAAACAATTGTGTTGAGGAGGTGGCTCCAAGAACACTTCACCAAAGCAGAAAGTGAATCAAAGACTTTCACTGGGAGACTATACTCCCCCAAATAGTTGCCTGCTGAGTTTGAGACGGTTTGTGGAAACAAAACTCAAGATAAAATAGACTCTTGTCCTGTTACATCCATCATTAGTGAGTATTTAGTTAGATATCCACCTAAGAGAGCTAGACTTTTACTCCTACGGAGATAAAATTTGATGTTATACAGAATCCAATCAGTCGAATTTTGCAAAATGCCATGGTCCATAAGACCCAATGCTGTAGATAAATCATGGGCCCTATAATAAATGACCCTTGCGTCCATAGGCTTATAGATATCAATTGTCACTTTTAAAACAAATGCTTTAGTGGCTGAATGAGATAAGAGGAAAACCGATTTCTGTAATAACAATGTGCTAGTGTGTCAGCACATACTCAACCCATGATTTATAAAAAGTGAAAGTAGGGAGGGGGAAAAGGTGCTAATATGTCTTGAAGAGCTACAGAGATAAGCATACATTTGAATCACAAGGTGCCAGGATTTTACCAAGACTACAACATCATGGTCTTTCCCTGAGAAAATATATATGTCCGCATAAGAAGATGAACATTTTGCAGAAAAAATGAACAGTTGATTCAGGGGCATTTAGTTGTCACCCTTGTTGAGCATCTTTGTTCCTTCTTTTCAAAGCCATTAATCCGGTAAAAATAAGAGCTGACTACATACCTGATCAACTCAATAACAGGAAACTTTCTCTTTCCCTATAGGTAACGGGGGAGTTGGGTGGAAGATGAAGACGTGGAAATGAAACCGGGGAGCAGTGAATCTAGGTAGCTTTTGTCCTGACCACAATTATCAGATATCACAGAGTGTCCATTTTAGTAAATATTGTTTAAATCCAATCACTGCCACAGTTATTTAAAAGAAGGCCCTTCCTACAATAAGGGCCTTTAAAAGAAGGCCCTTCCTACTCTTATTGTAGGACAAATTATCTAATAATTTGTCCAGGGGAAGCACACTTTACTTCTTCAACTAGATTATAAACGCTTCAAGGTTCAACACCTAATTATGCATTTCCCCTCCTGGTCTAACAGTCTTGTTCATAAAAATAAAATTGCTTGAAAAACTCTTGTAAACAAGATTGGGAAGCCTGCCAAGGAAACCTCTTCCTCCAGATCACTGCTATTTCTTAGGTATCATGTTTTAGTGATAGTAAAAGCCAAGACTCAGCCTTTTATTTTGGATAATTCAGATGAATTCTTTAGTTTCTCAGAACAGATGCTTTACTAAACCCAGACGTAAACTATGAACCAAATTTTTAAATTCTCGGTATCTTGCTAGTATAGTCCCTTGCCTACTGGGTAGGGTCACAAGAGAAAAACACCATGAGGATCATTATCTCTGACAGTGTAGAGCTGCACACTTCCTACTGAGAAGATTCTTTCTAGCTTCTCTTTATGCTATACTTTCAAGGCTGGCTCTTTGCGGTCCATTAGGAAATGTGGCTTCAGAAATTTTGGTGTTTACCCTGCAGGTACAAGACCTTGCAGGTATGTGCAGGGAGTCCACAGCACAGGTAAATCAGATTGATGTTTATTAATGAGAAAGTGTCTCCTCATCTGGATTTAGCACAGAAGCCACAGTTCTTTCTAACATGTGACATACTTTTGTGCACACATAGACTTACTCTTCTCCAGAATAGTCATTTTTAAGTCTCAGAATTTTTTCTGCATGAAGGGCAGGCTACACTGCAATCTTATTCCTGGATTAAGTCAACCACATTATCTGAATTCAGCACCCATGTGAGCACTTCAATGTGCTGTTTTTAAATGTATAATTTTTGTGTACATTCTTCCTATATTATGTACAGAATATCATTCTATGATTAACTTAGTTTAAGGTGATCCACATATAAAACCTTGACCACCTCTCTGAGACCAGGCTATTTTGGAGTAATGATATTGTTCTGAACTTGAAATCTGCTGAAGTCTAAACAATTTTTTAAAACTTTACTATACATCATTATACAATGTATTATATAATTTAAATGGTGAATTTAACGGTATGTAGAGTATATCTCAGTAAAGTTGTGTAAACAAATCACCTGGCATTATTTCCTCTTTGAGTTTGATATGAATGAGGTTTTCCCAGGTTTTACGCTGGGCTAAAATCCGTGTCTGTTGGTAGATATTCAGTAAGCGCCTCCCATAAATGAGTTTGCTTTTACATACTCCATCTCATCCAGTTTGGGGAATTCCACTGAACCACCTCCAGAAAAACCAAATAAATTTATGAGCTATCTGCAGCAACTCAGGTACCATGGAGAATAAATTAAAAGTTTTCAAATGAACCCCATTTGGCTTTAGTGGTGAGCAATCTTGCTCTATTTTAACTGAGAAACCCACAAAAGAAAATAAGGAAAAAAATTAGGGTTTTCAAGGAAAGACTATGGATCATGCTGTGTATTAAGATGTACAATCACCTATACAAGAGTAAACCTAGATTAACAGGGAGACAGCACGGAGTTGGTGGACCCAGCTATGGCCCACAGCGAAACATCTGGACAGTAGGAGGTCCTGGGTAGAGTATGCCAAAGGCATTAAGTGGTGAGTGTCAGGTAGGTCCCGAACTTGGGCTCACAGCAGTACTCTGGGAATTCCGGAAAGAATGGCTACTGACTAACAAGATAGGTTACTGACATAGAGATAAGAGCGCAGGAATAAAAAATGGGAAACCGTGCCAAGTGGATTAAATACCACTAAGAGGCTGACTACAAGGCACATCGACAGACTCCAGCTTCTAATACTGAGACAGAAGGTTCAAGTGAGCTAAGCCACAGGCTGACCTGAAGTTGATTTGCCTTACCTAGACTCCTTCAATTTTCCCTGATTTGTTCCAGAACCCTGGCTGGGGATTCAGGTAGGAGTAAGTGGCCCCAGCTGTAGGGAATAGAGAGACATACCCCCGGGGGCCCAACACATCATTACAGTGTCTGTAGCTGGGATGTGCAACCACTCATTCACAGACTCGGAAAATATTTAGGCTGATTGAGACCTGCTTGCTTCCCCACCCTCCTGGCAACTTGACTCTTATCTCCCCTCCCTTCTCACACATGCATTGTGGAGTCTGGGAGCGGACACTTTCTAAAGCTGATTTGCCTACAGTAAAATTTGGGTTGGGTCACACTTGTTTGTAACACCCAGATGAATGTGCTATGTTTCGATCACTGGAAAGGAACTTTCTATGACATGGTGTTCACACTTATATCTAAAACCCAAACTTTAAAGTTTACAAAGCCATAACATGGAGCAAATAGTTTGTCAATTTATAGACTAAATTTGAAAAGATCACCCGTCTCTCTCACTCGCTCTCCCCACTAATGTAGGCGAAATGCTGATAATGAACTTCAACCCAGTACTACTTTTAAATCAGCCCTCTTAATGCACATAAACCACAAAATCTCATGCTTGCAATCACATTAACAAGATGAATTCAAAAGTTTCCAATCTTACCAAAATAAGAAAAACACAGAGAAAACTAAAATCACCACAGAGTGAAAATGCTACTTATTTATAGCCTGTGAGTCCCCAAAACCAAAATGAAAATATGTAGGATGAGCTTCCAAAAACAATTCTGCAAGTCAATACAATAAATCAGGCCCAGATGTCACAAACACAATAAATCAATTGAAACTGCCAAACCACTTTTCTCAGCCTACTGGATTTAATTAAAAACACCACTCAGTGCATGAGAGGCCTTCTAATACAGACGATACTATCACTCAGGCTCAACCATCTGCCCAAGCCTGATGTAGGAGATGGAGTTTGTTAAATTTTCATCTACAGGCCTGTTGAACATGGCAGGGTTTAGTTCAATCTATGGCAATGCACTGCAGTCCCTTTTAATGTTTTTTAATGTTTTATTTATTTTTGAGAGAGATACAGAGCGCAAGAGGGGGAAGAGCAGAGAGACAGGGAGACACAGAGTCCAAAGCAGGATCAGGGCTCTGTGCTGACAGCAAAGACATGAGACTTGAACCCACAAACTGTGAGATCATGGCCTGAAGTCGGAAACTTAACCAACCGAGCCACCCAGGCGCCCCTGCAGTCCCTTTTAGATACTTTTTCTCAGCCTCCCAACGTGCTCATTAAGAATGCTATCAATCAGCTTTTGCCATTGGAACACAGTAATGCCAGATAAACGCTGCAGAAATATTGACTCTCTGGTCCTCATTTTTGTGTCAAAAATACAGCACAGTCATTGAAAACAGACAAGCATATTTAATCAAATGTATAAGGTAAGTGGTGACTCGGTGCTTGGTGTTCAAGATTCTTCAGTGACTCTTCTGAAGACAACCCAACTGTAGCTCATTGTCTATAAATGTCTGTTCCCAAACAACCAGTAAATGCCACTCAGGAGAAAGAAAGAATGAGGGTGGGGGGTTGGGGGGAAATGAAGCACTTACAAGTGATTATGAATTCACGAGGCTGACAAAGGGCACCGGTTTCCAGGCATCTTCCAGGACTGGAGGTGAGGAATCTCACTGGCCCTTAAATAAAAAAGATCCCTTGAGTTTAGCACAGAAAAGACAGACACCCAACCAAGAGGCTGTTTTAACTTGAAGGATCACATTATTTATCACGAACAATCTCTAAACTCAGTCAGCAGAAGCCTTCCTGGCACTCTCCTTGTGTATACTTGGCTCTATTTTATAAAGACAGAACAGACTATGTTTGGCATTTTTGCCTTGAGTTATTGACATGTTTTAAATTATGCTGTTTTATGTCCATTCTTAATAGAACAGAAATCTGCTACAAACGATCTTTATTAACAGACCGCCTCAGGTGCTGAGACTCTAGATTTAACAATGTCTCCAAACAGACAGGCAGGGAGCTTGTTAATAGGCTTTTCCAACCCTTTGGCTTCTGTGAGACGTAAGTGGATTATGGAGGTTTGTTTGTCAGGCTATCTTTTTACATCACTGTCTGAATAATTGCCACAAAGGCCTATTGCTTTGGCCTAATTAACAAAATGTACAAAATCCTGAACATAGAACTTTTATTGATTAGCCATCTCCATGGGAAGCTTTTGAACCCCCATGACTTCTGGCCCCAGACAGATGCTACTCATGATGTTACACACTGGACCATAGTCTTTTAATATAACAAGGACTCTTCTTACCACTATGGACTATTCAAAAAGTGCCACAGGAAACCACATGTATTGGTAATAGTTTAAAAATCAGTGTCCTTGGGACGAGATAAATTTTTACGTAAATGTCACCATTTACTATAAAACAATCCTATCTGTTCCAATTTTTTTTTTTTCATAGAAACTGATCCTTGAAGGGGTGGTTTGAATTATAAAAACTGTATGGTTAAGAAGCAAAGTCAGTTTTATCTGAATGAGGAAAAATATGTGGATAAAACATAACTTGAAGGGAAAGTCAAAAACATGGAGTAGGCATGCATTAATTTATTATTCAGTCAGTTTTCATTAACTGAATAATTATTTCAACAAATACTCCAGGGCTTGTGTTCCAGAGGACAGTTTTAGGCACTGGGACTCACCTCGAGGCAAGAAGACAGTATCCTTGCTCTTGTGGAACTTTTAATACCAAGGCTAACAGATGTTTTAAAAGCCCAGGTATGGAGGCTCAACAACTATTTACACCTTAGACTGCACTTAACTCTTCTTTAAAAAAAAGTAAAAAGCCCATGAGATAAAAAATTCTGTTTGATGACATAGCAAGTGAGATCAGCCATGGGAAATTAAGCCATGTGCATCATTTTATGTAATATTCAGAAGGCACATATGGAAAAAGGAGCTACAAACATTTTTGGGAGTTTGAGAAGACAAAGAACTCAGTCTGTTCGATTTAAATGGAAAGCAGGACCAATGAAAATTTCTTAATGAAGTTACACATACGGATAGGTTAGAAAGTTTTGACTAAATTTATGTTTTTTTGTTTTTTAAATCACCCAAGTAACTAGGTAATGACTGTGAAGCAACAGACATTAAATTCAAACATTTGAATGAGCTTTGGCTGGGAACTCAGCTAGAGAAACATACGTAGGGTTGAATTAATTTAGAAAGCTTCAAGACCCTAGGAGTCAATTACATGACAGCAGTAATCTCTCTC